TGGTCATTTGAACGCGGGCGGGGTCGCGGGCAATTCTAGTCCTATATATTTATGTGTTTGTCTCTTTTTAATGTCTTATTTTCGTTTCATCGAGTTTCAAATCAGAACGATTCTAAAGAAGTTACACTTCAAAAAAAATTTAAATATTTGGCTTCAAGTTTATGTCTTTGACACTCTGTCTTTAATATTGCTTAGTCTGAAGTTTTGTGTTACATTTTCGACCGACTCTAAAAGGAGGCATTATTTAACTTGGTTGTTTTTTTAAATATTTTGTTATTCACAAGAAAATTCATTGATATTACAATATTGTTTTATTTCTCTGGATTATTCCATCAATATCTTTAGCAATTGCGATACTTTTTAGGGTTCTATGCCCGAAGGGTGTCAACCCTATTACTAAGTCTCCGCTGTCTGTCCGTTCGTCCGACTGTCAGAGGGCTGTATCTCTTAAACCGTAATAGAGTTCAAATTTTCACAGAATGTGTATTTCTTTTGCCGCTTCAACAAATAATAAAAAACCAAGATGGCTATATCAAAAAGGCTATATCAAAATTAAAAAAAAAAATCAATTATGGAACCCTATGTACGCGAGTACGACTCGTAATTGATAGTTTTTTTTATTTTCATAGTATTTCCTTTAATCAATACGTTTGAATACCATTAGGCAAAATCTAACTCCAAAGTCCCAAAAAAAGATTTTAATAACAATTCCTAATACAATAAAATAAAAAAAACCCATGAATAAGTCGTTTTGCTTATATTTGATATTGCAATATAAAAACTATTTTTTACAGAAAACGAGCAAATGCGGGGCGGGTCGCTAGTGAAGTAGAATATTCTTTAATATTATTGGCTATTTCATATAAGATGCTACTGGAGCTTAAAATATGGATGCGATGTGTTGATATTGTAAGTGCGTGCTTGTTAAGTTAATATTATCTTTTTATATTACCGCCTATTATAATACAGAACGTGTGATTTAACAATCGGTATGTCGGAGGAAATTGTTTTAATTTATTTCTAAGAATATATAAGTTATTAATATATATTAAAACTAGCTTTTGCCTCCGACTGTACTCTGATTTTCTGTCTCATATAAGTTTAGTAGTTATTTTAAACGTACATACAAATAAGCAATTTTTTTCTGAATAGTTACGAATGAAATGTATGAATTAGAAGCATTGAATGGGCAATATGATAAAATTCAATAAAGCGTTTGTTACTTGATGAGTAAGTTTTTAGATTTGTTGGTAATAATCTTTCATTGCCATATAAACTACATATAGTAAAATATATATAGATATCGGATTTTTGAACCGGCTGAAATATCTCAAAGTTAGCTATTGTCACTTAAGCCCTAACTTATATTACTCATACATTTTCACATTACAACATGCTAGACAAGATCTTATTCTACAATGGATAATATCGCTAATAGAAAACTATATAATATGGCACATTTATAGAAAACTAACAGTACCCGCGACTTTGCCTGCGTTACTCGTCCTTTCGATCGCTACCAATCTTCACAGGATCATTCGCTGTTCTAATTTGAAGATTGTCGGAAAATTTCATCAAAATCGCTCCAGCCGTTTTGGAGTCTAGGGAAAATACATACACACATCGATTTTTATATATGTATATTTATACTTAACGGTTTATCTTAGGGATGTTGATGTGATTTTTTATGTTTATATTATAATGAATTTGAAACATAATATTATTGAGAATCAAACGAATTTACCTTGTGACGTTTAATTTCTTATTATATGAGTTAAGATGATTATGTTAAATATATATATATATATATATATATATTAGAACAGCATCAATCTGGCGTGCTGCTGCTTGTAAAATCATCTTCGGGAGAGCTACGAAGTATATGATATGGGCTAATAATTAATATACGCTACTGTTATGGCTTAAAAATGAGCTCAATAATAGGCATGCACTGTTTCTGATAAAAATATCAAAAAATATTAGAAAAAAGAAACAGAAGACAGTTAAAATTCAAACATACAAAATTTTTGTTTCGATTTACTTTATTTAAGGAACCTTGTTAACTCAATTATTTACTATATAATGAAAAAGCTACATCAAATTAGAATTTCATCTAAATATATGAAATGAATCACATCAACACCTATCCTATAAAGCTTTATTTCTAAGTATTAGACTTAGTTTATTTGGTCGCCTATTAAAAATGGATTCTGAAGAACGCTTAAATCACTCATATGACGGTTAAGGACGGACGGTAATGAATTATTTCAACTGAATTCTCTTCGATTTCAACGCTCACAATTTGTTTATTTATGTTACAACCGCCTTTCATCTACGTGAGTAAATATTAAATGACAATTCACTTACTACTGGCGCAAGCCACGGCTACTTCAAAGAGGATATATATATGTATTTGTTATACCAATCTAATTATGTTGGGAAAATTTTGTGGCAACACTTTGAAGCTTAATTGGGTGGAAGATATTTTAGAATAATTGTCGATTGATTTAGAATGTACGCAGTTCGGTCATTACATCTATATGTTAGCATCCTGTTCGCAGTTTGACACTAATTTTGAACTTTCAGGTTGGTTGGTTTGTTGTTAGTGGTTTGGGTGTGTTTAATTTAGGTTTAAATAATTGGAGCCTGTTTCTAAAGTAGTTACTAATACGTTTTATTGGAAAAAAGTGGGATTAGATTGAAAGTGATATTTTTACATTCTATATCTTCTATGGGTATCATTATATATATATATATATATATATATATATATATATATATATATATATATATATTTGTAGCGTCCTATGTATTGACGACAAATTGCTAAGTAAAAACTAAATACTTATATTTTTATTGTACATAAAATAATATACATGTACAATATCTATATATATATACATATAAAAATTAATTGCCGTTCGTTAGTCTCGCTAAAACTCAAAAACGGGGGACCGATTTGAATAAAAGAAATTGTTTTATTGGGGGTGTGTCAGGAGTGGTTTAAGAATAAAAAAAAAACATACAGTCGAATTGAGAACCTCCTCCTTTTTGAAGTCGGTTGAAAATAGGGAAAATCCCAAAAAAAATAGACGAAAAATCAAAAAGTTAGAAATATTTTATACCTATGTATATGTTTATTATTATTTATTATTATCCTATATAATTATTTATTATTATATATAGTGTATCTATTCCATACTAACCGTAAAAACGTGCCGGGATGAACCCGAGCGAAGCGAAGGTGAGTCGCTCTCGAAAATTGTAGAAGGCCGTTTAGTATATAAAAGTAAGGGAAATAGGTAAGTAATAAAAATCAAACTTTATTTCTGTATTAAATTTTATTGCATCTATTCACACACCTTTCGGCAACGGTTAAAGACGTTTAAGCTAACAAAATTACAAACAATGATTTCTCCTAAATAAATAAATTTGCATAGATCTCAGGGTTTATATAATATTAAAACATAAATGTATATTCATTATTCTAACAGAACTATCTTTTTTGCGTTGTTGGAAGTTACCTTTAACGGTCTTTAAGTTTAGTTTGAATTTCGATATGCTTTGCACTGTACCAGTGGTATTTTTTATAGATTATAAAGACACGATAATAATAGGGTTTCTATTATTAGATGAATTTAATTTAAAATAAAAGTTCAATCATTTATTGTACAGCAAAATTGTATCTAAAATTAGATAAGGAAGTTCAATAATACATTTAAATAAACAATTCTCATACAATTCCCAATATTATATGATACCGTGTCAATATTAAGTATATTCCAGTGAAACACGTAAGTGTTAGTGCAAACGGACTGAGAATTTCTATAGAACCACGTCTTCCACCGTTTATTTACATCAAAAGTCGTAATACAGAAACATTATTGCGTTTATCATCTTAAATATATATAATCAGTACTTACAACAGTGACGTAGGTATGTATGTACAAAAGTTTAGTCAATTTTGGACTTTCAGCCTAATGTAGAGAAAATAATATTATACAACGTTTGGGAGCGACTGCTTACCTCTTACCGTATCTTACTTACAAATGTACAAGGTCCTGTTGGGGTTCAAACTGGTAGATCTATGACGTTTAACATTAGTCTTTATATAATAAGAAAAAGTCGATATACCTTCGATTTAATAGTATTTTACATTTTAAGCTATAAATCTCATATTTATTGTAACTCCAAGCTGTTCTATAAAATATGGTACATATTTAAATTACCATGCAGTAGTTGGGATTATTTTTTACTGATATATTATTGCAGGTGAAAATGATTGCTACCGAAGTCTTTAAAATTTTGTAACAAGTCACCAAAGGAGATTCAATGCCAGCCCTAACTGATTTCGATGCTAACTTATAAATAAAATGTTTTACACAGTGAAATTTCTTTTTATATGTATATCATAGACGATCATAGTCTTCTGACTAGAAATGAATCCATAAAGATATCTCACGATCTGGTATTTCCTAGATTACAATAGAACATTAAACAAAATATGATAAAACTACTGACCTCGTACCAAATAAATATTAAAAATCGAATAGTTGTTACGAAACTATCAAACAAGAGATAAACTGGACGTAATTAGGCACTAAATATAAGGAGAACATTTCGAAAAAAATAATAATAATTTACACTCTACATATGAAATAATCTAAAACAGTGTTGTCCGTCTAAAGGAAACATAACACATATTAATACCTATGCTTTTATTAGATCACTTTGTTAACCACTTCCAGTAATAACTACGTAACGTAAGGTCCAACTCGGTTAGCACCTAGTATTGTCGGTCGGTACGCAGTACAGTCGAGATGTCAACCTCACGTGTCTCTATCACAAAACTAACCTCTACCGGTGCATAAATTATTATCACGTATATACGTATGTATATATATTTATCGATATTTACAAACGTGAAGCCGTGTTAGCCGTAGCGGCGTCGGCGGAGATCGTGATTATTGTCGAGGCGCCAGCGGGTGGGGGGCAGGTCAGGCGCGGGGCGGGGGGTCGGCCAGGGAGGACGTGGAGGAGGAGGAAGGTGATGGGGCGGGCGGTGCGGGGGCGGGGGCGGCCAGAGCTAATGTTCGGGAGTACTCGAGCAACGCCACGTCTGCTGGATGAGTGGGTGGATATAACCCTCGATACAGTTCCGGTCGGTACGGGTGTGCGAGTCGCGCGGCTGCTGACTGGTAGAATGAAACCGCTGGTGGCGCTGCTTCATCTTTGCTCGCCATATCTGCGAGTGACCATATCCTGGGCTTGGCTGAGGGCGTGCTGCCCGGGGCGCGGGAGGGTAGATGCTGGTACGCTGGATGTAACGGACGTTCATATGGTTCAGGTGACTCAGGACCACTGTCTGCACGTGACTCAGACCATTCCGATTCAGTCCGCTGGCCGAGCAGATCTAGCCTTTGCTGTGGTCTCTCGCCGTCTTCACTTGATCCCGTTCCAGAGTCCTTTCCGTCTAAAATAAATATTTAAATTAGGGAATGGTTCAATTAATTTTACATCCTTTAGCGGTTCGAATTACTGTCATCACAGTGAAGTAAAATTTCTATGTTACATAAGAAAACACGACAAGAAAGAACATTATAAACGTATCATAATATTAGTATTATATACATATATAAATTTCATTCGCAAATCAATTGTGGATCATAAAGCATAAATTAGGGTTAATCATTAAAAAGACTACAAACCTAAAGCGTCTTTCCCATCATTGCTCTTGTGATCATCGTCATCATTGTTATTGTCATCGTCATCGACCCTGTTCCTCGGCTCCCATGTCATTTTGTTCTCTTTCTTCAGACGTCGGCGAGCGTTGGCGAACCATGTGGATACTTGCGTGAGCGTCATCTTTGTGATGATGGCTAACATTATTTTCTCGCCTTTAGTTGGATATGGGTTCTTTTTATGCTCATTCAGCCAGGCTTTGAGGGTGCTTGTAGTCTCTCGAGTGGCATTTTTTCTTCGTGCTCCATTTAAATCCATTCCATATCTGTTGACAAATTAAAATAATATAACTAACTTGTATCATGTCTTTAATTTGTTAAAAATATTTAATTTTGCAATCTGCAAATTTTTACAGAAAGTATATTGGGGGCTTTTTTGTTTATTAGATCGGGATTTTGTATTGCCATTATAAATAATTTTCTATTATTCAGGATTAAAAACATTTACCAAAATAATAACAATGCAATAAGAAATGTCCAACGAATATAATGCGATTATCTTACGAGGGTCTCAACAGATAATTTCCTAGTCAATATTTTCCAAATGAGGAGTTAATAAGCGAGTATTTTGTTCCAAAATGGCTTATTATTACGTATAACGCCACAAAGTTGGGGCGCGTCCTTCAAATCTCTTAGAATCTTTCCCCTCGTCATTCAACGCAGAATGAGCCGCATCGTATTTTCGGTACTTACTGTTATAAATTTATTTGGGTAACTAGCAACGTACCCCCGCTTCATACGTTTTAATTTTTTTAAGCGTTACCCTGTTTTTTTTTAAATAAAAGTAGCCTGAGTTACTCCTTATAACACCGGCTACATGATAGTGAAATTTTTCCAAAATCAGTACAGCCGTTTAGGTGATAAGCCGGAACAAATAGACAGACAGATAAAAATATAAATAGTTGCGTTTTTCTTATAAGTGCCCTCTATAAATTCATATACAATTAGCAAAACGCTGATATTTTGACATTACAAACAGACACTTCAACTTTATTTATCTGTATAGAACATTTGAAGCTGCTACTTCTTAATACTTCTATATCGGTTAGATATTTATTAAAAGATTAACTAACTATTTTGCAAAAGAAGTATGATATAAGCAAAATATTCAGATAAACATACAAACAAAAAAATAAGTTTTATATAATTAACGAAATTAGTGCCATTAACTTATTTTCAAGGCCTTAGTTTCATTAATTTCACAAAGCAATCATTGGCAAATAGATTTATTATTAAACCAATTTCATCAAGTAAATGCAATATAATACTATTTCTGCGAGTTCTCTAAGTGCATGTTGACGAGACAACATGCATAATATCCATACTGATATTGTAAATGTGATAGTTTGTCAGGATGGATGGATGTTTGTTACTAGTTTACGCCAAAACGGCTGAACGAATCTGGATAAAATTTTTCACAAAAATAGGTTATAATTTGGAATAGCACGTAGGTTACTTTTTATCCCGGAAAAAAGTACAGTTCTCGTGGAATAGATTTGCTTTTGTTTAGGGACGAACCGAAGCGAAGCGAGCGTGAGTCGCTAGCTCCCTATATTTGTTAGTTTTGGAATTTTACGACACTAAAACAAGTTGCACTTTAATCATAGCTAATTTCGCAAAATTACCTCAACCATAATGTAAATCCAGCTCAATGATCATTGTTATATTAAACAATCCACAAACAGTACGCACAATATTAATCAACCTATAATTTTGCTCTTCACCGTAAAGTTTTAAGGTGGGTAGAATAAAGCGTACAGTGGACTCCGATTTGGGCGAGATTTCAGATAAGTTCAGTCGTGACCGCCCCCTGCAAATTCCCTCCCATCGAGCCAATGAAAGCGGCATGATAATTGAAATCGAGATAAGCCATCGGGTGCTGTTCTACTGTTGAGTTTGCTTATCTCCCGACTCCGTACGCAGACCACGCACCCATATATTCACTATCTTTATTACGTTGCCCCCATATCAATTTCTAGTGAGATTAATGTATCGCTTCAACGCTTTTAAGTAATTGAATGACAAAATAATACACGCGTATACGAATTATTACCATTGTGACTGTATGATATGAATATCTTTGGTTTTTTCATTGATTTTAGTCTTTGTTTGTTAAATTAATACTAATTAATGATACTTTATTATAATACTGGCACATCAGGAAAAGATGACGAAACACGTTCTTATTTAACTTTAAAAGTAAATTTTGTTTTTGCATTACATATAACTTATTACAATTACTTAATAAAGTTATATAAATAACGAGTTAATTAACAAATAATTTTACAAACTGCGATTCACTCGGTTTTATATGCCTTCCGCCGAGCTCCATCCATATGCCGCTGATGCATTGTTTGAAGCCGAGAAGGGTGGGAAATAGGGATAGTACTATGGGAAATTAATAAAACTGTCACTTAAATCGCACAAGTGTCAGCCTGCGCCCCTCAAATTCATTGCTTAAGGATATTGCGCTTTAAAACAGTGGAGCACGACTCAATATCCAACAACAAGTGTAGTGGAAACTTTCCTTTGTTAAGTCCGTTGTTGACTTAATTCTCGCCCTCGATGAGATTCTCGTAAATAAATATGGAATTTTATATCCCATTATCAAGTGTTTATAAGCCGTATCACGATCGGTACAGCAGTCGTTCTTCGAGATGAAATAAGATGAAGTTTTTAATGTTATTCATATATTTTTGGTATTTTAGGTAAAAATATAGTTTTTTGTATATAGGATTGTGTATAGACACTTGTTTTCCATTCCAAAGTACTACGCAATTTTAGAACTTCAATAGCTCGATCAAGGGAGCAATTAAAAACCGTATGATATAATTTGCGGAGAGATTCACGTTTTAATGACTTGGTTTCTGAATGGACTAACATTTATAGAATACGACAATATAAAGTGGAACGGAGCTTAGGCGCATTCAAACAAAAAAAACCTTCATTTATCCCCGCTGTGCCACTTTCATAGCATCCGAGCTCCGGGGTAGCTCTTCATTTTTTTATTATTTCGCCGAGAGGGTGGTTCACCCTCACCCCTACTTCAATTAAACGTCTATGTCTCCTTCGCGTTTCCTACTTAAAGTCATAAAAATGGGATGACAGAAATATATCACACCTAATGCACTTATCACTTGGATTTTGATAACATCTTAGCATATGATAGAGAAACGTGCAAAAAGCATAGATTCGTTGTGTATAATAAATATTTATTAACGTGATTATAACACTACTAGCGACTCAACCTCACTTCGCTCAGGTTCGTCGCTAGGTCGATTTTCCATACAAACTTTCATCCGATTTTCACCCTCTTAAGGAATGATTTCCGGAATAAAAAATATCCCATGTCCTTTCTAGGGTCTCAAACTATCTTCTTACCAAATTTCATCTAAATCGATTTAGAAGTTTCTGAGTTTATTCTTTTCAAACATACAAAAACACAAATCTTTCCTCTTTATAATACTAGTGTATAGTAGCAGTGGCTTTACGAGTACATTTTAAAACAGTACAGACAAAGTTTAAGTAATTTTAACGTATTACGTAAAAGTGTGAAATTTTAACAATAGAGTAGATCTGCTGATGGAATGAATAGTGGACCGTTGCAATGGTTATTAGAAAAAATCTAATATTGCTTGCAGTGGAAATGATACAATTATCAATTTGTATATAACTTGTTTTTTTTTTAATTATTCAAAGGCATAACAGAGTGTATATTGGTTGCCATAAATGTAAACTTACTTATATCGATTAAGTAGTCTCATAGAAGGGGTCATAATGTGTGGCGTAAAAAAGTGTTAATATATGATAGAGCAGGGCTTCTCAAACTTTTATTCTTTATACCTATTTAATAATCCGTTAAAGTTTCGATAAAAAAGTTTTTTTTAATTCTGTTTAGCATTATGATATCGAAAACATAGTTTTCAAGATAGTTATATGATGATTTTTAATGAACAAACTATGCTATTAAACCTGGAGCTTATTGTCAGCACTTTGAGAAACTCTGTCATAGAGTAAAAACTGCATGTCAAAGGAAATAGCGCTAAGTAGTAGTAGAGTTTTTTTGAATTATGCTACTCGCAAGAAATTGATAGAAAAAATTCATGAATTTAAATTGGAAGCCATACATGCGAATGTGTTGTTTTACAATTTTCTAATATCTTAGAACCCTTGATTATGTTGCATAATTTATTTTTTATATGTTTACAATTTCATACCTTTGAAACAAATTTTAAATATGAACAAAATATTGTTGGAATCTGTAGATTTCATATAACTAGTGATCGCTCCGTGGTAGAAAATCGATCATAATTCTCTATTATAACCATAAATTATCGATATCGAGCTTCTTTTTTCAAAGGTATACAGATAGCTTATCAAACCCTAAAGAATTTTGAAACGGGCTCATTGATTCTGAGATTTGCACGTACAGACAAACAAACTTTTCATCTTTATTTTATGTAAGTATTCGTATAATATTGATGAACGTTATTTAACTTCATGTTACATCTTTTATCAGTGAAGTGTACATATAATAAAATTGTAACTAAGCCGAATCTGTACATTCGATATTATTTGGAAAATCTTATTGAAATATACATTATTTTCGATACAGAGCCTGAATCTATGGTTTTTAGAATTTTTGTCTGTCTCTCTGTCTGTAACCGCATCACAGAAATACCAATGAAGGGATTCTGATGAAATTTGGTATTTTGATAGGTGGTTATCCGGGTCAACATATAGGATACTTTTTACCGCGGGAAAATGTCTTATTTCTGAGAAAAAATACAAAAACTGCAATGTAAGAGTATACTAATATGTAAAACCTAAGAATTTGGTTTTTGGTCATCTAAACGCGGGCGGAGCCGCGGGCAATGCTAGTTATATATAAATAAAATATGCGAGCGGATACGCGGGTAAAAGAAAGTCAATATGGCTTTCTGCAGTCTTTTTCAAATCAAAGCCGTAATTCATACTCCAGATCTGGTTATTTGATGAAGTCGGAACGTGACCAAAGGAACTTATCGACTGTGAATGTTTTTTTAATAATACGTTCAAGCTTATTATTATCAAGTAAACAAAACTTTGGAAAAGCTTTTTATTGCCAAAGACAACTTTTCCGGTAATAAATACGAAACTAAATACGGAAACCATTTACTATCGTATAATTACGGTAGCGAATACGTTAACTATTTACGGCAATTTCTCAATGTCTGTACAACGTTAGTCACTGTAGTAAAGATTAGACATATTTTGTAAAAAGTCC